AGGAGGAGCAGGGCAGGCAGGGGCATAGAGGCTGCAGGGGCAGGGGGGCGCAGGGGCAGGGCAGGTGGGGGGCGCAGAGGCTGCAGGGGCGGGGGGGGTGCAGGGCCAGTGAGGAGCAGGGGGCACAGAGGCTGCAGGAGCGGGGGGGGTGCAGGGGCTGCAGGGCGAGTGGGGAGCAGGGAAGCACTTAGCAACCCTCAACCACGATCAGAGCGGGAGGGAGGAGGGGGAATGTGGGGTGCTCAGAGGAGGGGGGCAGAGTTGGGGCAGGGACTTTGGGGAAAGGGTTGGAATGGGGGTGGGGAAGGGGCGGAGTTGGGGCGGGGCTGGGGGCAGGACCGGGGCCCCGTGGAGTGTCCTCTTTTTTAAATGTTTGAATATGGTAACCCTAGAGTTCTCAGCAAATCCATCCCTGAGGTGAGAGGAGGTACCTAGCAGCACCCAGCAGGGCCATCCTTAGGCATATGCACTGTGTAGGGCACCTGAAAATTTGGGGCACCCATGGGTCTTAGTGTCCACCCACCTGGCTTTCCTATCCCTGTTCTGACCCTTCCTCCAGGCTCCCACAGCTGGCTGCTGCAGCCTGGTGAGTCTTCCTCGGGAGGGGATCTCGTAGTTAAAAGTGAAAATGCCTCCAGCCAGCTAGCCCTATTAGCAAAACATTGAAACTGTTAAAGAGTCATTCAAGTGGTAATGAAGCCATTTAACAGGCATTTGCCAACCCCCAGGTATATACTGTCAGTTTCTGAATTTACTGACAAAAACAGTTGTGCATTACTTCTCGGCTCTCTATGAGCTGAGGGGTGAAAACATTATTTACTCAGACCATGTTAGTCTACAGGACCTTAGTTTCAAATTTGCTTTAAAAATATTTCATTAGTGAGTTGAAGATTATAAAATCACATCTCTAAAAAATCCTTGCATAGATTTTTAGATGCACAATCATCTTTAGCCTTAAATGCTTGGATCTTCAGACATATAGTTTTTTTAGGGTTACCATCCGTCCGGGTTTCCCCGGACATGTCCGGCTTTTTCAGTGTTAAATGGCCGTCCGGGGGGGATTTCTAATTAAGTAGAAATGTCCGGGATTTCCCCCTTCCCCTTGTGCGGCGCGTCTGATTGGACGCCTGGCCTGATTGACAGCTGCTCGCAGCCACTAGGGCCTCTAGCAGCCAGAGTCCC